GAAAAAAAAATATTTTAACAAAAAACAACACAGTTTAGACTTCAATAGCAATTTTTATATAGATAGGGTTTGGGAAAATAAAAAGATGAAAATTTTTGAAAAGATAGGTTTTTTATTTTATTTGCAGGCTAAGCTGTAGTTGCCTTTGAACAGACACTTTTTTAAAGTAAAAATTCTTGGATAAAATCCAATAAGGGAGAGAGAGTTTTAGTCTATATATATAAATATGTTTAGACACATTTTTATATAATATCGTGACAATCTTCTTTACTGATATACTGATCTGATTTGAACGAATTTTAGCTTATTAGAATCATTGCACTGAGAAGAATCGGAATTCTATATCAGTTTTGGGTAGTCAGCCTACTGAAAAATTTTTTCTACACTTAAATTTTATTAAGTAAGAATTTTTGATATAAATTGCTAAATTGCGTAAAATTTGTCTTAATAATCACACTTCAAATTTTACTGAATATTAGCTAAGTTTGAGGTTTAAACAAATACAAAACTATATTTCTAGCATTTGTGGTTGGTGAATTATAAGCTTTTAAAGATAAGCAACTCTACTTGCATTTTTTTGTAAGCCACTGTAAGTATAATTTATGCATTTACTTCAGACAAGATTTTTTTGAAACCTACGATTTCAAAAATTTCAGTCACATGATTTTCCTTACCTGAGTTAAATAAAATTTCTGAAGTTTGTTCTTTGGCAAAAGAATTTGAATTAATATTATTGAAGAAACTATCAATTATCTCTTGAAATTCTTTTTTGCTAAATTTTGAGCTAGAATTCGCGCTATATGTTTGATATATCGAATCTTATTTATCCTTATTTTTTTGAATAAATTAAAGATTTTTATTGCTCTGTGAGTTTGCATATATAAATTATTTTGCTTTGTATTAGGAAGTTGTTGGATAATAAAATCATAAACCTAACCTTTTACCTTTTCTCGCTAACTTTACCATTGACTATAAAGTTTTTAATCATAATTAAAAACTCTTTAGCATATAAATACCAACTTAATATTCTCTTCTTGGTTAGTTTTCATTATGATACCTTCTGCATTGCTGGCTCTTTGATATAAGTAAATGATATTTTTCTTATCCAAGATAAATGAAATTTTAGTTACATGATTTTCCTTATCTGAAGTAAACAAAATTTCTGGAAAGTTAAAGTTGCGAGATATTTTTTGAACCAGCCCCTGCCCATTTTTTTCACTCGCAAATTTTTTAAAAGGAAGAGATAGTAGAGGTATTAGATAATTTTTATGTCGATTCTTAATCCTAGTCAAAAGGCGTTTAGCTTATCTTTATTAAGTTTTTTTTCTTATTGCATTGCCTTATCCTATACTAATGTTTTTCTTATATACATCATCTAAGAAAGCTTTTATTTTTCTATCCTCTAATGGCTTTTGATTACTCACATTCACCTTCTCATATATATTCGAAATCAGAATAATGGTATTCTACTTATTTTTTGAAATCTCTAATTGAAGAAAGAGTTATTGTTTGTTTTCTTCATTGTCATTCCTTAGTTTTACTACTTTAGCTTTAAGCTCAGCAATTGCATCATCACGTCTAACATTCTCAGTTGAAGAATCTGCCTTGTTTTTCACCAACTCCTTAATTCTGATCTTGAGTTCAGTATTCTCAATATCACATCTCTTACTTTCTTTCACAGCCTATCTTAGAAGCTCGACAATTTTGGCCTTAAGCTCAATTTTCTCAGCTTCAGAATTAGTTTTCTCAATCTCAAAATCAGCAAACTTCTTTCTAAGTAAGACATTCTTAGCCTCAAGCTCATTATTACGTTGCTTTAATAATTCTTGCTCAGTTAATATAATCTATAACTAATACACTATATATAAGAATTCAAATAAAAAATCAGTGATTTCCTTACCTGAGGTAAATAAAATTTTGCCAAGAAAATTTTTTATTATTATAATGTAAAAATAAATACATAAATTGTGACATAGTCCACGATACATATTATTTTTTAATAAAATTTTTGATCCTAGCTCATTTGCTAGCTAGAAAACTACCAACATTAACACAATCCAACAATAATATCAATTATCCTTTTTCGAAGTAATTCAGGATTTTCTTTAACAGCAGATTTCGTAAGATTAATTGATGCTGACTAGCATTTGTGAAGTAAATATCATCTGGAGTATATACGATAAAATACCACTCTGTACCTGTGGTCACAATACTATAGATCTAATCAAAATAGTCATTTCCAAATGCCTGATCTGCAGTCTATTTCTTTTTATTTGTCTGAAATATATTCTCAAATTACATCAGATTCTAAGAGATAAAATGAATTAATATTGAATCTCTAAAACATGATCTGAATAGTAGACCTACTTAGGTATATCCAATCATAATATTGCATAGTTTCCCCTTAGCAACATATGGATATCTTCCAATCTTTTGATCAAATAGTCTACTCAACCTGTTATATTTTCCACAGAAATGTCCTTTTGTAAAATTATAAATATATCTTGAGAGGTGATATTTTAAGCTATAGTGATCAAAGTATGAAGAATTGATGAAATAAATTCATAATGTATCACCTTGTTGATATCGGTCATAGTCTTCACATTCAAGAGTTTTAAGATAATATTATCTATATAATGATTAAGCACCTTATCATTATCATTGATATTCTCAAAGACTGTGAAAAAAATAAGATTAGTATAGTTAACTAGTCAATCTAAAAAATTAATTAATCACCCACCAAAAATAAACTGCTTGATTTTTATTATATCTTTCCTATTGACCTTATTTTTACGCAACATTTCCTTCAAGTTGTCATGAGTCTTAAGTGAGGAATAGTTTTATAGCTTTTGGTTGAGACCTTTAATGAATTTTGTAAGCCTTATTGCTGAACTTAACACAAAACTAATACTACAAAATTTTTCTTTTGTTAATTTAAGAAAATCAGAACTAGCAATTTCTTCTTTACGTAAAATTTTAAAGTGAGACTCCTTGAGCTTCAAGTCTTTTCTCCATAAATATTTGATAAGCTCTTCTATATTAAAATTCTTAACAACATTCGACATCGTTCTTTCGTTATTAAGATGGGGGAAGTAGATAAAAAAGCTTATAAAGACATTTTTATATGAATATTATATGTATTTCTGCTTACAAAAAAATTATACATTTGATTACAGTTACAGGTAAAGCTAGTTTATAGATACTAAAGTATTTTTTTGCTTTTGAAGTAAGATACGCTGATATAAAAAAATCTCTTCACTATCTTTAAGCTAATGTATTGTATTTATCCTATATATATACAATTAAAATGTAGTATAGGATTGTCTTACATATGACATTTATCGAGACTTATGACAAGAATGTAATATATGCTTTATTTAAGAAAAAATATTGCCAAAGCAATTAATACATAAAAAATAAATTTGCAAATATATCGCTATTACATTGTTGTAAATTAAAAAATACTAATTATTTGTGTAGCACTATTTTTGTAGAAGGATACACAATAACATTGATTCCCTTTTTACTAAAATAGATATGTTAGGGCTGAATGAAAAAATAAATAAAAATTCTTTCTTACAGTTCTATTTCTACTGACCTATCTATTATGAATATGCTGTTGTTTTTTAAGATATTGATTATAACACTATCGGCTATAAACTCAACCTTATATACGGCCAAACTGATCAAATAAATATCTTAAAATCGATTTAGATGATGGTTTTTAATTTCATCTGTAAGAGAAAAAACTCGATTTTTATTAGCGTTAGATATTGTTACTTTGAAAATATCATTTACTCTAACTTAATAAAGATTATATAAAGCTTCTATACCAAAAAAAGTTTATTAAGATCAATATATTTATATCAGAGACAGCTTTTATTATCATATTTAAATTGTTAGAGACAGTTTTTATTGTTCAGAGCGAAGTGAAAGACAATATATTTCTATGCACTATGAAAAAATTCCCGATCATGTGTGTTTCTCTGTTCACATTACGTGACTATTAACCAATAATCATCATAGTTAGTTTTTCATTAAATAAATAAATAAATCAAAATAAAGCAAAACGATATACTTTATTAACAATTAGCATAAACAAAAAAATAAACCAATAAATGCTAACTATTTTTTACAAGACAATGAAATTAACCGGTCTTTTTCAACCTTTCTTTCTTGCAATTTAATTAATCTATATACTAAAATTGAGTTAATCTTTCATCCTATTTTCCCCATCAATGATCTATGTCTGTGTGTATTAACCGTTATAATTTAATAAAAAATTAACTATTAATAAATTTTTATAAAAAACTCAAAATAATTATGTGGTTCACATAAAAAACTCCAAATTCACAACGGTTCTCATTCCCTAGTTATTACATATGAACTATCAGAAATGACTTTTATTATTATATTTGAATTATTGGAAATGATTTTTATTTAGAAAAAATACTAATAAAAGTTATATCTAAACTGTCAAAGGTAATTTTATTAGTATTTAATAACCTGAAATTTTAGATTAATTTTAAATAGTTTTGATTTAGATCAGATTATTTAATAGTTTGAGATCAGATTGGTTTGAGTTTACATTTTTTAGATTTATAATCTGAATCAAACTAAACTAAAAATCTTAGATCAGATTGAATTGTCCTTTAATTTGAACTGATCTAGATTTTTAGAATTTAGTAATAGTAAAAGAATAATTTTAATTTTAAATTTACTTATTTTAAATTAGTTTAGTAGAATTTAATAATTTTATATTATTTATATGAGATTTTATATAGGATCAATAAATAAAAAATAAAATTTCTAACTATAAAAACTTTGTGATTCTAGTTAGATTATATATATTATTATTCTATATTATATAAGCTTTTCAATTAAATTAATAAACATATAATACAACTTTTATATAAGTATATCACAAATATTCAGATTATTTGATTAATCATATTTGAATTTTTGATTATTCAGATTATCTAGATCAATTAGTAATTTGATTATCTGATTAAATTAGAAGAAACTGTAAATTTTGAAGTTATTAAATCATCTTCTGTTGCTAAAATATATAAATTTATTATTAATTAAAGAATTTATTTTACATAATATATTCAAATATTGCTAAAAAAGATTGATTGATTAAAAATGATCAATATTATGATATATTATTACGTATTATAATTTATATAAAATTAATTTTAGGATTAATTTTAGGATTGATCCAGTCCAATCCAATCCAATCCAAATCAATCTCAACCTTCGGATTAAACTGAGATTGACCTTATGATCAGATTACAATCTAGATTGTCTTTTTAAAATCATTAATATCTTTAATTATAACCAGTTACAAAATTTTCAAATCAATTGCAATATTATTGAGAAATTTCATCTTTAAAATTAATTTTCTTTATAATTTTCATAAAATTTACTTTTAAAGTTTGTTTATATAATCAAATATAATAATAAAAAATTCAATTTAATTTAATAAAAGGTTGTAAATAAATTGCAATATAATCCAAAAGGTTTGTAATAAGCTTAAGTGTAATAAAGAATAAGGTTAAAAATTATATTAGTTTTAACAAAATTCAGGTTTTTTATATAATGTTAAATGTTAATTAATAAAATAATATAAAAGCAATATTCTTAAATTATTAGTTAAATAAAATTTTATACATAAAAGGCATATGTATTTTTTAATTGTATTATTTTTCTTATCTTTGAATTCTATGAAAAATTTTTACACAAATTTTCAAGTTTTATAAGATATCACCTTTTGAGGATAAATAAATACCCTTAATATCAAAAATATAAATGTTATATTAAATATAAAGTGTTTATCAGATTAAAAGTTATTATAAGTTGTTAGCATTCTGGGTAGCATATGGCGACCGCAAACAAGGCAACCATTCTATAGGCTAAATTTAATAAAGTAATGATGGAATCTTGAAAAGTAAATACTTACTATTTGGTATAGTAATTAAGCGAAATATGGTGAATCATATGATAATCATATGATCTATTAACCAAAAGTCACATCATCGCGCAGATATCGGGTAAATTGTATACGGTCGATAGCGAGTCGAGAACTTTCACATTTTTTTTTCCCAGGGAAATTATATGATACGGTTTTTATTTTACATTAGAGGTCATATTATTTTTTAGATTGATTACATAATGTTTTTATTTAGAAAATGATTTTCATATGAAAACTCTTAGAGCTCATTCAAAAAAGACTTGTCCCGTTTAACCGATCTAAGATCGGTCTACTAGATATATCAGGCGAAAACCGATAAATTTACGCCCCTTATAAATTTATAGATCATATTTGACTTTTTATAGATAATGATGCTATTGATGAAAAAGGGGTAATGATGGGTTTTAGTGAAAATTTATTAATTAATATTTATCACATGATTCGTGAATTTACATTTTAAAATATGCTTTTACTTTTGTCCAACGCCATCTAACTTTGATGGTATTAGTTATTTATAAAAATATACAAGATAAAAAAAATTAATATTATTATTACAAATAATTTTTGTTAAAAATGATCAAATGATGTAAAAATATCTGATCTAATTGAATCAAAAATAATACATCATTTAGAACCTGTTCACCACATTTCATCATCTATTAGTTACTTTTAATTATAAACTAAAATAAAAGTTACAATTCAAATGTTTCACAATGAACTTTAAATAAACAAGTTTCATCACTTGCTTTGATAGCAGCGTTTCGCACTTGTTTCAACATAATACCGGGACCACAAACGCCAACCGCAATATCACCCGAACCATGATATTGCTTTATATCTTGCATAAGAACCGAAAAGTCAGGTCGACCTTGGAAAAACATTGATGATGGAGTTGTTGTTGAACGAGTCAAAAATATTTTAATGTCAAGAAGATATTTGTTCTCTGGTAAAGTTTCAGCTCGAGCCATTAATTCACGTAGATCTGATCCAAACCATTGATACGAATCTAAAAGAAAAAAGAGAATAATAATACATCGCGTTAAAGAATAGAACGATCACGTGATTGGAATCAAGAAAATAAAAAAGAATATATACCAATATCGGGAATAACCCACATGAAGTATATAGCTTGCGTGACTATTGGCATGCCGCCAACTTGACGATCAACCAGATCACGCAAGATACTAATCATCGGAGTAATACCTATACCACCGCAAATTAACGCTACAGTACGATATTGCATAAAATCGATGCTTGGTTTCCCATAAGGTCCATCTATTCTTAAGTTTAATGGAACTCGGGTATGTTCAGCTCCTCCTTGTGCTTTCATGTAAAGATTTTTTGAGAAACCACCTTGAACTTTCATGTGAATGCTAGCAAAATGAACGCCATCATCCATAATACTAGGGGCCGAAGAAAATGATATGGGATGCCATGCTATCCATGAAACAGGAGGTTTCAAATTCGAAAAATTTATAAACATATATTGCCCAGGTTCATAATAATCTTTGAACTCAAAGATAATTCTAGTGACACCAGATTGGATGGATTCCATTCCAATCACGTTGATAGATCCAATTCCAAGAATAAATCGAGTGAATCGATCAACAATGTAGAGACCCAAACCAACTCCTAAGAACATTATGAACTCATCTTGATGTAAAGAACCGAATATAACAAAAAAAATAAAACTGAAATGACTCCAGTAAAATAATTCAAAATAATTTCTACGTATTACAGAATGAGAGGTGAGAATGATGATTAATATGGAGAGGTAGGCTAAAAATCCCCATTTATTAGTTGGAGTACCAAATAGAGCTTCGTAAACCGAATTATTATAGGATTGTTGAATTTGAAAAGAGGCGTGAAAGGTGAGTAGGAAGTAAATGGTACGTCCAACCCAACGATGGAATCTAATCAATCGCTCAAAAGGGACACCAATCAATTTAAGGAAGACCGAATTCCTAGTGGCCAGAGGGAATACAAAAGCTGCATTTGCCAATGCAAGATAAGCACATCTTTTGCTTAAAGTTTCTGCACCCGAAGCATCAGCCGAGAAAGGTAGTAAAAGGAAAGTAACATTGATCACGATAAAGAACACAAACAACAAGATTTCACCGATTGACATATCACCAATAGTAATCAGGCTAACAGTATAATTTATAAATTTATGTAAATATACCGTCGGTGCGCTATGAATATTGGAGACATCAGGTACAATGGTAACAGCCTCTCGTGGTTGATTATCAATCTCAGCTTCTATTCTACCCGATTTTTCTCTTTTATAAGGTAAATCCGGAACTAAAGGCCATTTCGTACGACTTATATACTTTGATATTTGTCTTGTTTGGTATACTATTGAGAGTAAGATTACTATTCCAATGTAGGTCATGGATTGGTAATAACCCGCTGCAAAGTCTGCTGATTCCATTTAAAATAACAGTCGTGGGATAGGGGAGGAAGTTGATACACTTTTACGATCAATGAGAAGGATAAATTAATGGTTAGAATATACAAGTAATTATTGTTATTTTCGAAATGAGGAGGGTAGGGTAGAGACCAGCTCACGGATAAAAGGTAAGTATAAAGATCGTTTAATTAATATTCAAGTATATACGAGATCACTAGATTTCAACTCAACCAGTGAGAATTATTAAAGAAGGTGAGAAAAAGAATTAAAGACGAATAAGTAAATCGACCGAAATATAAGGAAAAAAAATCAAAGGTTGGGTTAAAAAGGGGAATAAAGGGTTAAATAAACGGAAACGGCCAATAAAAAAGAATGTGAGTTTTAAGATCAAATTTGGGTTCTTAATTAAAAGCAATTGTTGATTAAACAGAATAGTAAATGTAATGTGTGTAATTTACCGAACGAATCTATGAAGTTGTTCTTAAATAGGAAAGCTAATATAAATCTTATAAAATCTGTCAGACATTTTACCTCGTGTGACGTTTCAAACAAACGCAAAATAGGCCAATCCAGTCAATCCGCACAAAATAGTTAGTGATGGGTTTCAAAATTTATGAAAAAAAAAAATTATTTGGAAAATTCGATGTTCAAAAAAAATTTAAATTGTTCAAAACACAATTTTTATATTCAATTTTAATATAATGTCTAAGCCTTATTAAGCCTTTGACCGGAAGCTTGAAATAGAAATTCCAGATTGATTTAAATGAAAAAGTACCACATAATGTTATAAATCATTATACAACTTTAATTAACAGGTTTGAGGCTTTATTTGTACGGTGAGTTCTTGCCAAGATGAGGAAGTGTTTCAAACCATGTTCTTGAGACTTGATACACCTCATCGCGTTAAAGTCATCTGCTCACCTTGATTTTATCCTCATAGATCGCATTACGTAATTGCTTTAAACTCGAAAAAGAGATAAAATAGGAAAATCATATTCCTTTTTTTTTTTGAACCTATTAATGATAAAAATAGACTATATGAGATTGCCAAGTATTGATTGGAGTTCTGAAATTCTGAAGGTAATTTACTTTATATTACAATACATTTTTTAAGTATTCAACTTTTACCTTCCGAAAAAGGGATAAGCCGAAGTTGGCTTTGCCACACCCACCTGTTCTAATAAATATTGATCGACCTTGGCATTTTTTTTTTAATTCGGTTATTTTCTCTGTCTTGTCTTTTTTTTTTTCTTTCTTTTAATCGGCGTATTTGAACTATTTTCTGAATATAAAGCTTACAAGTGTATAAACTTATCGAATCGCCGGCGATTCCCATTTTTTTCATTTCCACTAAAATTTATTTTGAAAGAAACAAATAAAAAATAATGTCAAAAGATACAATAAAATTACTTTTATTTTCCCTTCTCTTGCTCACATCGATACCATTCTTTGTATCAGCATTTCCAACTGGAGCTGGGACTTGTAATGTAGAAGAAATGGCCAGTGGAGACCATGGACCTTCCAGCTTAAAGGAACAAGCAGGGTATAGACTTTCTGCAAATATGCCAACGAAAGGAAGTTTTGAAATAACTGCTGTAGGACCCGGAGATGGATTCAAAGGAATTTTGGTTTACGTTTTGAATGCAAAGAATGAGAGAATAGGAGAATTCACAAATTTGCCCCCAAATATGCAATTGAAATCTGATTGTAAAGGATCAACCGTTACTCATAAATCTAAAGAAAATAAGAAATTTCCATTTAAATTAAATTGGAATGCTCCTCAGGGAACAAGCGGTAATTTAACGATTAAATCTTTGATCGTAAAAGATTTCAAAAATTGGGCCAGACTAGATGATATTGAAATCGATCCTGTTACTGGAGCTTCAAACGTTTCTCCTGACAGTCCTGCTAATGAAGACACAGCTGGACAACAAACTGAATCAGACTCCTTCGTTAAGAAATACACGTTATTCATAGTTATGATTGTTATCACCACTCTTTTGTATATTGTAGGAAGTGTGGCCGAAGCTTTGTTGAAAAGGCAACAAGTTAAATCTAGATCTTTTGCTAAAACTGTTGGTGGTTTTGGTAATGCAAAATAATGTACAATTCGTTTTATTAATCTCTAAGGGATGGAAGGGAGAGAATATTGGTCATTTATTATAAGAAATTATTATTTGTATTGCTATAATATATAATTATTATTATTTGATATTAATTCTCATAAATTCTGCGCGCTGTTCTTAATTGTTCAACTTCTACCCAGGTCAAAGGATTTAATTTCTGCGATAGATTTTCGTTCTATTAATTTATCTCATTTATCTCATAAATATTATGTAAATCATTTTAATTGTATTACCGAAATTAAATGGTTTTTGAAAAGGTAATGCCGAGATTTTATTTAATGAAATGTTGCCCACTTAGAATCGTCCAAATAAAGTCAACAATCATAAATGCATCATCCTAAATTTTTTTCGGAAAAAAATAATCCCATAAACGAACAATATGCCTTTTTGTAAAAAAGGTTCAACTTACCCAATCGTTCAAATAAGGATATTTTCTTTTTGTTTTGAATTAGCATTAAATGCCGGTTGTTAATTAATTTCGTTATACAATCAATACATAATTGAATTTTACAAAATGGAGATATCAATAATTCAATTATTTGATTTAGAAGATAATAAATGGTTTCGTATCACTTCTCCAATATATCACCACAGAGTTTTTTTCACTATTTTGTGAATATTTGTCACTCATCAATTCTGGTCAAGTTCCATAATGCTGCCCAAATCACGTGTGGTGAAATTTTTGTGGGTAAATGTTTCATAAAATTGTCACTTTGAGCTAAATGTCAAACAAAGATTTTCGCTTGTATTCAAAATATTACCATGGGAAACCACGAATTGAAACAAATGAACATTTCTTTGTTTTTAATCTAAAACCTCAATGTAATACACATGCAGGTTTTTTTTGTTTTGTATATATGAAATTTTATATTATAAAAGTTCGTTTATATTGTTTATGCGATTTCCGTTCCAAAATTAGATATAAAAAATTGAATATCTTGTAATACTTCAAAAAAAATAGGTTTAAAGAACTATTAGCTAAACAAGGACCTTAAGAAGAACGTGAATAGACAGTTTTTCAAACAGATTACATGGACCCTGATGAATTTAAACAATGTATTGATTAAACGATAAACTGATCGCTACAATTTGGGAAAAGTTGATCGCCGTATATAGAGATCTTTGTAAATCCTCTTTTTTCCCTAATAAATTTTCTTTTTTTTTTTTTTTTTCAAAATGCTGTTGGGAGATTTCATACTTGAAATTTATGCAAATAAAGTACCACTTCTCGAATACTATATTCCCGATTCGAATCTTGGTGTAATGTCAATTAATATCTATTGATATTTTGTTTATCATACTCTAAAAAATTTACTTTCGCTTTTTATAGCTTAGTATTTCGAGCGTATTAAAATCTTATGCCTATAATGAACTTGAGGAAAGAAAAGAATATTGGTACGGAAAAACTTTTCAGTTTCCACCTATAGAATACTTTCATCGTCCTACATTTATTTATTAATGCTTCTACATGTAATATTATAGCGAACAAACCTCATTTGTTGCAGTTCCGGAGCCTGGAACAAGTTACGAAATAAGATTTGCGGCTCTTAACGCTAATAGGTTTAATTTAATCGCGGCAAAGATCTACGTAGATGGCAAGAATGATGGTAAACATTATTATACCTGGAATGGTTCAACATATATAGTTTCAGGATTTTATAATAGTGATTCTTCTAGAAAGCACAATTTCATTTTTGATGCTACATCTTGGGTTGAGGAGGACTTCTCTAGTTCTGAGTACATGGAACATGGAGGCCTTGGTGCTATTTCTATTTATTTTTATAAAGGCAGGCACGAAAAAATTGAAGAACCAATCGGAAGGCCGTTAACATGGATGTATGAATTAGAACAAACCAAAGTTCCTGAAGGAAAAACCTGTATGGATATCGCTTATACAACAAAATTTGATAAAGGAAAAAAAGTACTTTCATCACAAAAGAATAAATCGACTAATACGGTAGTAATAGAAGATGGGGAGCCTCTGGCTGTTCTTCATCTCAATTACCGACCATTAGATTGGATAATGATGAAAATCAATCAAAATTCGAGTCCATTTGGATTTTTGCCAAGTGATTTAAGATCGAACAAAATTCGTGAAAGCGTTAATAAACGTGAACGCGAAGAACCGATTCCTCAGGATCCTAATGATGATGATTCAGATGAAGTTGTGGAGGTCTTTATTGACAAAAAGCGTAAAATTGAAGTAATCGATCTAATTGATTCTGATGATGAATGAACGATGGTATAAAGATTTATATATTCGATTTGTTATATTTATCGTATTTATATTTATTGGATTGAACTGTAGATATTTATCTTTAAAACAAATAAAAAACACATTATATATATTTTTTTCAAATACTTTTTTTGATTGATTATAGTAACCAAATTCAAAATTCTCATAATTCTAACGAATTATAAAAATTAAGAAAGTTGTCTTCCCAATTCGAAGTCTTGATGTAATATTATTACTTGATGACTTGAAATAATTATTAAATTATAAGCTTATTATTTCGAAAATCTTATGATTTTAGTATATCTTCGAAAACTTTTTTTTGTATTTTGCCAAATACATCTCTCTTCAACCATCCGTGCGATCAAACTATATTACTGCTATTTTAGATTATCCTTTACTAAAAATGGCATTATGTATCGTGTGATACCTTTATAAATATACACGATTTTTTTTTAACATGTCGATCAAACGTGTCATTATAAAAAAGATTAGAAGGTAAGTTCGTTGGTTTAGCATATCTTTCTTCTAATACATAATTTTTGTACTATCTCTCACAGTGTTTGACATTTATCTAATTGGGCATATTCATTTACTTTTTTTTTCCTGTTCAAGAAAACACTGGAAATGAAAATCAGTCGGGGATTTACTTAAGTAAAATGGAATTCCCGAACTCAAAATTATGGCATCCACTTTCGATAAAGATTTGAAGTTAATTAAATTACTTTGAATTTTCTCTTGTGAAAATGGTTTCTTCACAATTACATTTCACTCATTATTAATAATAGAAAGCATATCAAGCTTTTTTTCAATTATTTAAATATTATTAATAATGATATTCAAATCACAGTAATAGATAGAACCTTTCTTTTTAAAGAAAAGTCTTCAGAAACATCATCACCCACAAGATTTTCTCTGACGAAGAGCCCGTTCACGTGATGGCAAATGTAATTAAAATTATGACACAAGGATCTAGATTATTTGCGAAAAAAGAATTTTCATTTTACGTAAAGAGGGAATCAATGGTTCCTCTTTTCTAAAAATAACAGTATTGCGTTTGCGTTTGGACCTGTCAGAGAATTATCAAATCTCATTACAGAACTTAAAAATGTTAATGTACCTCGGATTTTGTTTGAATTTGCAATTATTTTAAACTGGTACTAAAATTCACCCCCCTATAGCAAACACTCCAAAATCACCCACCGGGTTTGTATCTGATTTTACACAATTCCAACATACTTATTGTAGGAAAGTATACTGTTGGCGATAAGATCGTATCGTCTTTTAAAAATAGCTGAAAGGAACCCCTTCGAAACTATTGTTACATTTTTTATGCATCATTATATTAATATATCTGAAGAAGTACGTTGTATTATACAAGTTCTGGAAAACAAAAAAAAAACACTAAGTATTAAAGTATATTAAATTTTGATAAATGGGACCTCGTCCAGGTACTTGTATCTATTAATTTCATCTTAATGGAATCTATTTACTCTTACCGTACTAATTTGGATGCGTTCATTAATTTCGACTTGGTGGCATCATGTAATAAAATGATTCAAGTTTTGATAAAGGTCGTCCTTTACACTGACAAAACTTTAAGCTTTAGTATATTCCTGCGTTTAACCATTTCTTATCTTATAATAATACTATTGTGAAATATTTCTCATTCAATATTTTTGCTTTTATAGGATGACATTAATATTACTGTATCTTATAGGAAAAAGCTATTAAATTACAAAAATATTCTATCTCCGTCATTGTTGTCTACTGTGCTGTTGTTATACGAAGATGACATAGATGACCTGGATGACATATATGACTGTGATGACTAGTATGTCATATATGTCTTCTATGATTATATGATTTACTATGCCTCATGACTTGATTTTACTGGAAACTTTCCTATATAACTCTTATATATTTATATATCTCTTACAGTATGTCTTATATCTTATATATTTATTATATTTCTTATATTTCTTATATATCTTCAAACATTTTATATAATTATTTTTATAATTATTTTTATATAAATATGCATTAAATCTTAGGATAATAAACAGCAGTGTTGGTATTGGTCCCATTTCAATTGATTGAATTGGATGATTTAGATGATTGGATGATTGGATATAGATCAATAGCATCCAATTGCCAATTCTTTCAAATAGTTTTGCCCAATTGTCCAATTTAATAATTGGATATGCAATTGAACTTGGTTCAATTAATTGTTCAATAAGATTTAATGTGATACATAATAATCAAATAAAAATCTTTTCACAATTATGTTATATTTTATGTTAGGATTTTGTAAATTTTCATAATAGTAATATTAGTAATAAGGTACTTTAGTATCCCTTTTTTAATAATAAATATAGAATTGACAAGAAAAATATAAACTTAGTAGTTATTATTTGATATTAGAAGAAAATCTAATAAATGAAATAATTATGCTATTTGTTAGGCTTAGAAAAAGCTTCAAAATATAAATTTATAAATACTATGTGCAAATTACCTTAAAATTTATTCTTATTAAATCAAAAGATATACTTCAGAACAAACTAATGTTATAATTCAAAATGCAATAGATTATGAATTAAAAAAAATGAAATAAATGTTATTAATTAATAATTGAGAAAAAGAAATAAAAGTGATAAAGAAAATGAAAATTAGAGTTCCTCAAAATCGAATCAAATCAAATATTTAAGCAATTTGAATTTGATTTAATTTTTTCGAATTGAATTGAATTGAATTGAACTCAAATATTTGATCAAATCAATTTGAATTGATTTGAATTTGATTGAATTGAATCAAATATTTGTCAAATTGAATTGAATTGAATTGAATCAGATTGAATTGAATCAAATTGTATATAAATTTTTTTTTTAATTTTTATAATAATATATTAAAATAAAGTTATTCTAAAGTTTTAATTAAGAAAATTATTAGTAATTGCACTAAAAAAGTTTAAAAATAGCTTTTACAAAGTAAGTTTAGTAACAGGTGAATTTTTACTATTAAACTTAGTGAAATAACTCAGCAGTCTCAGTTTTAATAAGAATCTTAGTAATAACCGTCATTGCAGCTTCAGTTTATTAAGAAAACTTAGTAATAACCACTATCATAACTTTGGTTTTACTAAGAAAACTTAGTAATAACCACTATCACAGCTTCAATAATGTCTACAAAGCTGCAAAGGCGTTTTTTATTATGTTTTTCTTAGTAAAAAAGCATTTATGAAGCTGCAGAAGCATTTTTACTATGATTTTCTTAGTAAAAAAGATATTTCTGAAGCTGCAGCAGTGCTTTTTACTATAGTTTTCTTAGTAAAAATTACTTTTAAAGCTTTGAAAATGGCTTTACTATTGATTCGAATTAAATCAAATATTTGAATACTTGATTTGAATTTGATCGAATCAATTCAAGCATTAATTTGGATTTGATTAATAAATCATTCTTTGATTTGAATTTGATCAAATCAAATATTCAAATATCAATTGAATTACAAAAATATAGGTTAAAAAGGGGTTCTGGGACAAATGACCAAATTGCTTCCGAATCAATTCTAGTTATACAAATCCATTATTGAATTTAAACTTTTAGCATGATTTGACTCAATTCTAGATGATGATATCGAACTTGGCTTGAAATTAACCTTTAAATATCAAGAATTATACTGTTTGATATAACTATTTTAGCCTGATTTTAATCCTAAATAATATATCAAAAATTTTTTACTATTCTGTTTGCCGCAGAAGGGACCATCGAAAATTAAGGAACAAAGTGACGCGATTTGAGCTGGGCCTAATCATACAAGCCTAAAATGCATATCATATTCTAAGTCTCATCTCTAAATCACATCTCTAAATCGCATTTATTATCAAGTCTCACCTCTAAGTGCAGAAAAAATCAGAATAAAAAGCTGAAAGAAGCCTAAAATGCATACCTCTAAGTCACATCTTTTATCAAGTCTCACCTCTAAGTGCGGAAAAATTCAGAATGAAAAGCTGAAAGAAGCCTAAAATGCATATCATATTCTAAGTCGCACCTTTTATCAAGTCTAATCTCTAAGCCTTATTCCGCAATTTATTATAATATTGCATCACATAATATCCTCTAATATATTCAGCACACCATCCACAAGCTGTAGTAGTAGGTTTATCACAATCTGTACAAGAATAGTGCTTTCTAGTCTTCTAATATTGCTGACATCCTTCAGATCGAGTACAGGCTTTACCACAAGTCTTATCAGAATTATGAAGATATTCGCAAGTATAAGATGTCATCATTTACAATAGTGATGAAAAAATTTAATTAAACAAAATTATCTGCAATATAAAAAAGTGAACGGCAGATACACCCAAAGAGGTAATTAATTTTATTTAAACAAAAGTTTACACAATATTAAGCAGGTGAGACTTATTAATATCATGCCTAGAAGTGATAAGAAAATTTCTACTTGTAAGGATTACGATTATAAATTTACAAGACCTGCTAAACTTCGTCAACATTATAAAAGTAATAAAAATCAATGTAGACCAGATTCTGAAATTATTATTCAAGAGATACAAGCTTCAACTCCTGAGACTTCTAGTCAAAAGAAAACTACTTCTTTGTCTATAGAGAATTTGGCTAACTGGTTAACGAAACAAGGGATAAAAAATAACCTGTCTATTACAAACAAAAAGTTTCCTAAAACAGATACCGAATGGTTTGATTTGATGGAAAAATCCTCTAGTAAAAAATAAAAGAAAACCAAAGTTTCCCAACCAGAAGAAGATCCAGAAGCTAAACCAGATCTATCAACTCAATCTCATAGAGAAGGGCAAAAGAAGGTAAAGAACATCCACTTTGAAGAATGTCTAGTTGAAAGGGATCTAGAAAGATCACTTAAAAATCGATCTTTAATGAGCAAATAGGTAGGCAAAGTTTCCTATCCTGATGACAATCCTAAATATGCTTTTATTCAACCAATAGCTAATCCTATACAATATAAAAAAATT